CACCGGGGTGGGCAGAGGGGAATGGGGGTGGCACAGGGTGATGGGCACAAGATGGGGATGGAGATGGGCACAAGGAGGCCGTGCCACCATGTCCTTGAGCTATCAGGTCCCTACTCCCCATGCCAGAGGGTTCCTGTGCCACCAGATCCCCTTTTCCTCACAACAGCAGGTCCATGTGCCACCAGATGCCCCTTTTCCAACACCTGCAGGTCCCCATCCCACCACCTCCCCATTCTTTATGCCACCAGGTGCCCCTTTCCCACAACAGCAGGTTACCAGGCCACCACATACCCCATTCTCCTTGGTGGTGAGTCCCCGTGCCACCAGATGTCCCATTCCCCATGCTGGTGGGTCTCCATGCCACCAGATGTCCCATTCCCCATGCTGGTGGCTCTCCGTGCCACCAAATGCCCTGTTCCTCATGGTGGAGGCTCCCCATCCCACCAGAAGCCCCATTCCCCATGGTGGTGGGTCTCCATGCCACCAGATGCCCTGTTTGCCATGCTGGTAGGTTCCTGTGCCACCAGATGCCCCATTTCTCATGCTGGAGGGTCCCCATGACACCAGATGCCCTGTTCCTGATGGTGGAGCCTCCCCATCCCACCAGAAGCCCCATTCCCCATGGTGGTGGGTCCCCATGCCACCAGATACCCCATTCCTCATGCTGGAGGGACCCCATGCCACCAGATGCCCTTTTTTCCACGGTGGTGGGTCTCCGTGCCACCAGATGCCCCATTCCTCATGGTGAAGGCTCCCCATTCCACCAGAAGCCCCATTGCTCATGGTGGTGGGTCTCCATGCCACCAGGTGCCCTGTTTGCCATGGTGGTAGGTTCCTGTGCCACCAGATGCCCCATTCCTCATGCTGGTGGGTCTCCATGCCACCAGATGCCTTGTTCCCCGTGCTGGAGGGTCCATGTGCCACCGGATGTCCTGTTCCCCAAGGTGGTGGGTCTCCATGCCACCAGATGCCCCATTCCCCATGCCACCAGAAGCCCTGTTTCCCAGGGTGGTGGGACCCCACGTCACCACATCCTTGTGCCACCAAGCTCCTGTGCCAACTCCCCATGCCAGCGGGTGCCAGCCCCCATGTTGGCACGTCCCTGGGGCTGATGCCACTCCCGCTGCCAGGCTGTTCGAGGTGATGGGCACCATCCCACTGGAGAAGGACCTGCGGGTCTCTCTACTGGACTATGACCTGCTGCCACCCGACCAGGAGATTGGCACCACCACCATCGACCTGGAGAACCGCCTGCTCTCCCGCTTCCGTGCCCACTGCGGGTTGCCCACCCTCTACCGCACGTGGGTACCCCAGAGGGGTGGGAAGGGGCTGGGGGGGCACCACGGGGCTGGGGGCATCAAGGAGGGCATGGTCTTGAGCCCAGGATGATGAGGAGAAAGAGGGCACAGTGGGTGGGAACAAGGATGGGGACAGGGTGATGGGGATGGAGAGGACACGGGGTGGGCACAAGGTGATGGGCACAAGACGGGGACAGAGATGGGCACAAGGAGATGGTGACGAGGTGGGCACAGGGGAATGGGGATGGAGAGGGAACAGGGGGGTGGTGGGCACAAGATGGGGACAGAGATGGGCACAAGGAGATGGGGAGAAGGATGGGCACAGGGTGACAGGGACAAGGACGATGGGGATGGAGAGGACACCGGGGTGGGCAGAGGGGAATGGGGGTGGCACAGGGTGATGGGCACAAGATGGGGATGGAGATGGGCACAAGGAGGTGGGGATGGACACAGGGAGACGGGGAGGGAGAGGGCACAGAGGTGGTGGGCACAAGATGGGCACAAGGAGATGGGGACAAGGACAATGGGGATGGAGAGGACACAGGGGTGGGCAGAGAGGAGTGGAGGTGCCACCAGTTAATGGGGACAGGGTGGGCACAGAGGGATGGAGTGGGCACATGGGGGTGGGGACAGGCACGGGGACAAGTTTAGGAGGGGGTTGGCCCAGGGATAGGCACAGTGGGGTGGTTATGGGGTGGGCACAGGGCAATGGGGGGTGGTACAGGTGTCACAAAGAGATGGGGACAGGGTGGGCACAGGGATGGGGACAGGGACAAGGAGATGGGGTGGGTACAAGGATGGAGGTGAAGAGATGGTTATGGGGTGGGCACAGGGGAATGGGGGGTGGCACAGGGACAGTCACAAAGAGATGGGGACAGGGTGGGCACAGGGATGGGGACAGGGAGGAGGAGATGAGGATGAGGTGGGCACAAGGATGGAGGCGAAGAGATGGTTATGGGGTGGGCACAGGGCAATGGGGGGTGGCACAGGGACAGTCACAAAGAGA